GCTAAAAGACAGCCTGCATGTGTTACAGCAGCCCAAATGAACAAAAACCTAATCATGATAGATCACACTTTGGGTGTCAAACCTGCATGCTGCCTCTAAGAAGTACAGTGAATGTTATTAAAAAGTTTAAGCACACTATACTATTACTACTTTGTAATTTTACTGAAAATACCACAGTAAAATTCATATGTCAGAATGAAGTTTAAAGTTGTCAGGTGTACTCGTAAGAATTGGGAGCTTTAATGAAAAAAATAAACCACATCATTTCAAACTTAAAAGGGATCCCTTACCATTCTCAGAAGTGTATCTTAGGTCCTGCAGAGCAGCTACAGCAGCTTGAGTTCCCTGAACATCTTCTTCAGCTTCTGTGATATGCAGATAGTGAGGGGACGATTCTTCAGAAATCTCTGTTGTTAACTAATAAAAGAGAAACCATTGATCTTATTTCAACCTTTGAAAATGAGAGGGCAATCGGTATCTAGAGTTAAAATGAAGTAAAACTGAACAACAGATTTCTAGCAGCAGATAGTATGAGGGATTGCTCTTTGCTGCTTTTGGCAGGAGCTTACTGTTGCTTTTCACTGCGGTCGAAATGTCACCTCATGCCCCAATACCTCTTTTAGACTTCCAGATACTTGCAAGCAGGGTTCCTTTGAAGTTAGACAGTGACCCTTTGGCTGCTTGCAGACGTTAAACCGCCCCCCAAGAACAGGGCTTCACTTTAAACTCTACGATGCCCCCGTGTCGAGCTCAGCGCATGCCCAAAAGAGGCAGTGCGTTAGTCGGACCCGGCTCACCCAATATCTGTATAGATCAGGCACTTCTGTGGGGTTTTTTGGTGCTTTTATCTACCTAATAGCTGATTGACTCAGCTTTAGATAAAAGTGCCAAAAAGCCCTGCTGAAGTGCCTGATCTATACAGATGCTGCAGAGCTGGGTCAAAGCAACGTGCTGCTTCTTCCAGTAAAGTGCTTTTTTTTGTTTGGTTTGTTTTTAATGTTTGCAAGCAGCCTTTGTGTCACAAAAAAACCCCAAAACCCAGTTAACTTCTATATGTATTCACTTCTGGTATGTGCAATCAAGTCTTACTGAATAGCAGCCTCTGCTAAGGTTGTGCCTGGGCACCTAAGATGCTCTCTCATTTCATAAAGACAGGGGTTAAAAGGTGCTTCAGTATTAGTGCCTGGACTTTCAGTGCTAGCACAGAAGACTTATATGCTGGTAGTAGGTGTTTCAGTGCTGATTGCTTCTGTGCTGGTAGGGAGACAAGCTATTTGCCCATGAAGCACCCTAAGTTGAGTGCCAAGGTATCAAGCACATTCCCATCTGAACTGGGAATTACTTCAGTACTTGGACCTACTTGGTGTCGGTGAAGGAGATCTAGTCACCCTGAGACTAGTGTCTTTTCTCCCTTCTTTCCCTGAACTTTTGGGCTAAGGAAGGTTTTGAGTCTCTAACCAACTCCACAGTGAAGGAGTGAGACTTTCTCAATAATGGGGGAGCTCTGGAGCTTGGCTGTTGCAGTGGACTTATCTGAGCACTCAGCGAGATGGTTTTCATCTTATTTTCTTCAACATGAGCTCAAAAGAACCTCTCACCTCGGGGATCCTTTGAAGAGGAAGAGTTTAAAGAGATGCCCTCACTTTATTAGTCCTGTCTGAGAGCCATGTAATGAGGAATACCTGGATAAATGCTCCATTTTGGCAGAAGCATCAATTCTGAAGAATTAATAGAAATAGGCATGTTTTAGCAGGGATAGAACTTAAATACTCAAAAGCTCCATCATCTCTAGAGAGAGGCAGCCCAGGGAGCATCCTCCTGACTCTGAGATACAATTCTTCTCCCTACCTCCTTTCTAAGCCAATGGGCTAAATTGTAATAGTCGCTGACAACTGGGCAGGAACTATAAACAGCAAATGACACAGCATGCAGAGATGCGGGCACCACAGGACTTTTGTCTCACAGCTACAGGCATCATGAAGAAAATTAAAAGGTGTGTAGCTGTCCTGGCCTTTAATGCCTTCAGCAGCAGAAGCAAGGGATCACAGGGCAGTGATGGCCCCACAGGCTAGACAAGTAGTATGGCACTGGTGTCTGGGCTGGATCCACAGGGTTGCCACCTGGATCCCACCCTGTGCTGCCACATCTAACATGCAGGGTCATGTTAGCTGGCCTGCAGGGCTCCCCACAAGGATGGATATTTGCCAGTAGGGAAATAGAAATTAATACTGCCACTGCTCCCCCAATGCCAAATTTTCAGACCGAGGGGGAGTTCTGTAGGCTGGATGATGTTGCTCCATGGGCTAAGTCCTGATCTAGGGTACAGACATAACCCCCAAAACAAACAGCTAATCAAATTTGTCTCTGTACTCAACTATTAGGAGAAGCTTGCTAATTTATACTAATGGCCAGGAGACTCATTGTAATGTAATGAATTTTGCAAACTAGGAAATAGAATTATTGCTCCTCTATCGTTTTATGATAAAACCATATACAACTTTGATTGAAGCAAAAAAAAAAATCTCAAAACTTTCACTGATTTAAACAATAGATCAAGCCATTTTTTGGCAAATGAAAAGTTTTTTAATAATACATTTTATACAAGTAAATATAATCTAATAGATTCTGTAAATGGAATAAATTATGATATCATTACAGAGCACCGCTATTAACTGTCTACTAAAAATTAGGGGGGAAAAAATCCATTTGCCTATTTGCATGTGTGAACTATAGGGGCTTTGAATTAATATGCATTAAGTAAGCCTGCCTTCTGCTGACATGTTTCGTATAAGAGTAGGCTTTATACCATTAATAATTTGCTATCAGTACCATAATATTTTGTCAAAAACCTTTTAAACTGGAAATCATTTAGCCACAAAATTCAAATGGCTCTTCAAACGAAAGAAGAGACTGCTATACTATCATTACCAGTGAACCAAAAAAGCAATAGGAAGGCCTGGCAGTAGGTTTAGACCAGAGTTTAGATTATAACTTCAGGCTGGAAGTTTGAATTCGGAGTTAGTTCTGCTGAAGTTTTTTGAGATTCTGCCATAAAATAACAGAAGCCTCTCTGATCCCACAAAAGTTCTGCATAGTGAATGGCTTGGTAGAAGAGCGCTGCAAGAACAATTTTTCAAGTGTCATTTCAGCTGCATCAAAATTGGAACTGGAAACCCAGGGTCTTCAGTTTTGGAGTCACAATACAATAAAGTGCATTATGATGGGTTCATACTGGGATTCAATGCCAAATCTTTTTCATATGAGAACATGAAGCCAAGATAGGTAGCCTCAGATCTGTCACTTGAAGGGCCACCCCAGGACAAGCAAGCAATTTGATCAACATCTCAAATAATCTTGTTTGTTCCACCTCATTCCACAAAATGGAGGGCCAGATCCTCCTAGCAGTAAAGGGAATGCCAACAAATTATACCATCTGAGGAGCTGTTCAAAAATATGCAGCCCACTGAAGTCAATGAAACTCAACCACATCCCACTGAGACCAATGGAAAAGACTGCCACTCACAATACTGCCAACTCTTATGTTTTACTGTAAGTTGCATGGTAGTCTGATGTTTTTGCAAAAAACCCTGCTCATGCAGCCAAGTGATTGCACAAAAACCCCATCTTACATTCAGAGAAAACAGAATAGGATCTACCTTCTTCATTGTGGAGGAAAGCTTGCAAATATCAATTCTAAAAGTTCAAAAGACAAATGAGCCACATTAAGAAAAAACAAAATCTGGATTTTTGGAGTCTTGAGTCATGATTTTGAACAACTGGAGTTGTTGGTAATAAAGCATTAGCTTCAACATGCTCCTTAAGCACAGACACAAGATAAAAGTTGTTGCTTTTATTTCTCAGTCCAGTGCTCCATTTCCGTTGATTAGTTTATGAATTCAGACCTTTCCAGATCACATGATTTTACAGACAAACCTTTCTTTAAAAACATAGCATAAACTTTCAAATCAGACTTTTCAGCTTTACATTTATTTCCTAAAACTTTTATTTTTTTCCAGCAAGTAAATGTAGAAGCTCAGAAGCAGTAGTGAGAAGTAATAACCACTTATGACCTTGTTAATCCTGCTAGATATTAAAGTCAAGCTTAAAAGCCTTTGCACTGCATGCATTCAAGACAGCGATAATAGAGAGAAGAAATGTTTCTACTGCACAGAGATGTCCATAGCATATTTCTGCACTCATTCCTTTCTATACCTCTGCAGAAATTTTGGAAATGTTAGGGCAAAGCTGTGGCAACTTTATTTTTACCTCCCACTTTGTCTCCCCATCCTGTTCTATTAGCTTCAGTCCATGCTTGTTCTTAAGATGTCTGTTAAATTCCCATTTTGTACCATACACGAAACTGCAAACAGGGCACTTAATGCCACCTGGGGGGAAAAAAAATGAGAAGATATTTTTGGCATTATTATCCTTTACTGCAATGATCTTGGATACCCTTAGTGCCATTATATTACTGGAGTATAATAAAGTCATGAGACCCATTCAAGTTTGCCACCTCCTCTGTTGAGCAGATGTACCTCATTGGTGGCAGCCGCAGAAGCTGACAGATGATTCTGCTTCTTCCCTTTGCTTTCTTTGTGCTGAACACTTCTAAAATATAATCTGACCAGTAGTGCCATTACAATGTTTGATACAATTTTTAACACAAAAGCGCGTGTGCCTAAGGAGGAGTAACAAATCCACAACACTGCTCAAATATCCCTGTGTGGTAGTGCAGAACAGATACACTTGTCCAGTGATTCTCAAACAGGGATGCCGCAAGACAATTTTAAGGGAGGTCCAGGGTGCCACATAATAGTAGCACTGATAGATGTGCAAACACTTGCACGTGACTTGCAAGTTAAACTCAAGAGATTTCAAATAGGAGTCAATAGTGTAAAAAACTTTCTGACTTGTTGCAGTCTTCCTGAGTTCTTTTCAGCAGAAGAATTGCTCTATTATTTTTCTGTAGTCAAAAAACAAATGAAAGCTATGAGCTGGCATTTTCCAAGGGGCGCCTTGACCCTAAAAAAGGTTGAAAACCACTGCACTAGTCCCTCTGCCTTCTGCCACACCCTTCAATTCCTCTTTTCAGCCTTCTCACTGTTTTCTGTTGGAGTTTTTCCTCAG